AGGCGCCGCCGGGACCTGCCACGTCCGAGGCCTGGCGCTGTCGCTGCCGCCGTCGCCGCCGCAACCATGGTGAGTGCTGGGGCCGGGGTCGCCGAGCGGAGTTCTGGCCGTAGTCGCGGCCCTCCTGGGTTCTTCGCCGCGCTAAGGTTCAGGCCCCGAGTTGGGGCCGTTCAGCTCTCCCGCACCGCTTCGGGTCTGGGGGTCTCTGGCCCTGCCCGTCCGGACCTTTCGGAGGGGGAGGCCAGGCGGAGGCCGCGGAACCTCCCAGAACTCTGCGGGCCGCGTCTCCTGCTGCTTCTTTTCCTTCTCTTTCCCCAACAATTGAAAACAAAACCCCAAACACCGTTGGAGCTACTGTGGCCTGAGCCCTTAGTAGGTTCTAAGCATTGTTCCTAATCTCAGCCTACTAACAGCCCCGTGAAGTCGGGGCTGTTATTATCGACCTTTGACACATGAGGAAGCTGGAGGTTCAGAGAGGTGAAGCCTCTTGCACAGGGAACAAGTGGCAGAGCTGAGATTCAAACCCTCACAACCATTCCCTTCTCCCACCTCCCGCCTCTCCCAGCAGAGATGTCTGTGGAACGGGTGCTTAGCCCAGGGCCCCGAGGTATGACGGGCACTTCAGGAAACTGATGTAAGGATGAGCTGAATGCCCCTGTGATGCAGGGGCTCCGGTTTTTAAATCTCTGTGGTATCCACAGTGTACATTCACTCCACACTTAACTCATCCAGTGAATGACCGCCAGTGGGAACTAATGGGTGGAAGCATCTGGCCTGAGCCTGGCACAGAGGGGGGGTTCAGTAAGCCGGTGCTCTCGGGAAAATGGCTGTGCCAGGGTTTTTGAGGAAACGTGGGTGAACCCAGAAGTCTGGACGCTGGGTTTGGTTCTTGCTTTGCAGGGCACTGGGTTTTAAATTTCTCGGGGTTTTTTTGGTCTCTGATTCTTCAGCTGCTAAGTAGAGTTGGGGTCTCTCACACCCTGACACTCCGCTCTTTTTAAATGAGTTTTTAACTCATTAAGTAATTCTGAAGAGCTTAATTGTTTTGAGGGCTGTCTTTTACTACTTGAGGAAGACCATACATCTTGAGGTGCTTAGGAGGAGGGACTTTTTTTTTAAGGAGCTTTAAAAAAAAAAGAAAAAGCACTTGTTCATCAATCCTGGTTGGTGCGTCAGAGTGGTTCAAGATAAATGCTGGTTATCTCCAAGGTCCTCTGGCGAGCTAGGACGAAACTATCAGTGAGCTTTCTTCCTGCCTCTGCTTAGCCCTCAGCCATTGAGTTAGGGAATTGGATGTAACAACTAGATGGGCAGCCTAGTCAAGTGGAAAGCTTTGTGGGCTGGGAGTTAGCGGGTGGGGCTCTTCTCCGAGCTCCACCTTTAACTCACTCTGTGACTTGAGCAGGTGCTTTGTATTCCCTGGGCTTCATCTCCTTAGCCCATCGGACAGCTGTGATGAACTCCGCCCTTCAGCCTTCCCAGTGCACATGTGAGAGTACTTTGTAACCCGGACAGCTTGGCACACGTAGGAGATGCTTCTCTTTATCTTCCTTACTTGCCTTTGCAGACCTCGGGGGCCTGCTTTGTAGGGCATCTAGACTTTGGTGAGAGAACCTCTGCTTACTTGACATGTACCTTTTGAACTGCTTTGCAGCCATCCTCTTCTAGTATCCACCTTTCTGAAAAATCAGGTCAGACTTTATACCTGCAGGGCTTGTGCTGGAAAAAGGTGAAATGGGGGAAACGGTAAGAAATATCATTTCCAGTCTGAAACCTCCTTTTCCGACCCTTTTCTATCCCAAGAGTTTTGAGAGAATAGTAGTTGAACAAAGTAAAGCTGTGCATTTTTGTTCATTTACTTATTCATTCAGCAGATAGTCACTGAGTTCCTTCTGGTTGCAAAGCACTGTACTGGGTGATTTGAGAGGATTCAGAACGGCCAATGACACCGACCCTGGCTCCAGGGAGCTCACCTTCTAGTTGGGAGAAGAAAGAGTGTAAAGTGTGGTAGACATTCAGTGTTGATATTCAGAGGAGTCCAGCCAGTTGGGGAATCTGGGAATCTTCAAGATGGGGGGGCGGGCAGCGTAATTTGAGCTGCTCCAGCCAGTGGGAATCTGGGAATCTTCAAGATGGGGGGGCGGGCAGCGTAATTTGAGCTGCACCTCAGAGAATGGGTAGGAAGGTGGTGACCACGGCAGCTCTGTTCCAGCCCTATAAACTGGGCTCTGTCACAGATGGTGTACCAGGGAGCAGCCTCAGGAGAATCAGTTGAATCAATTAGTGTTAAGTGTTAACCCTGTTGTGCAAAAAACCTGCCTGGAACATCAGAGGCTCTGTCATCCAGGAAGGAACCCCAGCCATAGCTCCCTCAGGGTCCCTCTTCAACCTCAAACGTAGCCAGGACCGCTCATGCCGCCATCCGCCCTTCTTTGCTCATGTTTTGCCCTCTGATTTGACTGTACTTTTTTTCCCCTGTGCCACCTGGCAAATTCCTCATCATCTGAGCCCAGTTTATGCCTACCACCACCAGCCCCTCAGACTGCTATAGCACATGTTAACCACCATTAAAGTATTTATCTTGCCTTGTTGGGGTTACTTATGTGCAGGCTTCTCAGGGGCAAGAAGTACCTCTTTTTCGTGTCTGCATCTCCAGTCCCTGGCACAGTGCTTGGCAAAATGAAGGCACTTAGAGTGAACGTTGAATGAATGAATGAATGAATGAATGAACAGATGCAGTCAAGAACTTTAAAATTGATCAGTGGATTCAATGAGATGATTGCATTCTAACTACTGTCAGTGCATTTACCAACAATATCTTTGGTTCTAGGTGTCAGTAATTAACACTGTGGATACTTCCCATGAGGACATGATTGTAAGTATTCCTTTAGCACTTCCTCACATGCTGTGGACATGGGCATTTCTGTTGATCGTTTATGAATCCACTGTGGCTTTGCAGCCTTTGCCAGTTAGGCTGTAACCTGAGGGGTATGGTCAGTGTCCCAGCAGTGCCCTCTGAGTTGGCAGGGCTGTGATAGTCTGGTCACTGTACGGCAGGAGAAACCTGGAAACAATTTGTAGCTCAAGGTCCTCGGTCTCCTGGCCAAAAAAGTAACCGTCTCTGGGATGGGATGGAAGTGGGTGCAGTGGTTTGAATTAGTCTTCCCACCTATATTCCTCCTGCTGTCACTTCTTAGCCCCATTGGAAAGGGAAGAAGAAAATAGGAAAATGACTCAATACAAAGGCAGAGCCAGGTAGGACCGGCACACACAGCAGGCCAGACAGTACTCTTTGAACCAGAAGTCATTAACTCAAGGCGTTTCCTGTGAGGCAAACATAGGGTTTGGTGTACAAGGACAGGGCTGTGGGAGAAGGTCCAGAGGTTAAAGTCTCCAGCAGCAAAGATGTGGACTCTGCTTCTTGCAGTGCAAGGAGTCCAGGTAGCCTTTGAACAGGACCCAGGTCAGTCAGCCTACAGCATTTCATCCCAGGCATCCTGCCATCACATCCTTCCCACCAGCAGTTGCTTTTGGGCTTCTGAGGGGCTGCCTGGTCTCAGAATTGTATGTTCCCTGGGTGGGGTCATGTGTGTTCTAGCTGTGAGACCACACCTCCTTGGAGACAGCGTGGCACCCTGGGTAAGAAGATCCAGTCTGAGATCCCTAGTCAGTCTCTTTTTTGTTTTTTGAATTTTATTTTATTTATTTTTTTATACAGCAAGTTCTCATTAGTTATCCATTTTATACATATTTGTGTATACATGTCAATCCCAATCTCCCAATGCATCCCACCACCACCCCCCTGCTGCCGCTTTCCCCCCCTTGGTGTCCATACGTTTGTTCTCTACCCCTGTGTCTCTATTTCTGCCCTGCAAACCGGTTCATGTGTACCATTTTTCTAGGTTCCACATGTATGCGGTAGTATACGATATTTGTTTTTCTCTTTCTGACTTCACTCTGTATGACAGTCTCTAGATCCATCCACATCTCTACAGATGACCCAATTTCGTTCCTTTTTATGGCTGAGTACTATTCCATTGTACAGATTCTTTTGCATTCGCCTGTTGATGGGCATTTAGGTTGCTTCCATGACCTGGCTATTGTAAATAGTGCTGCAGTGAACGTTGGGGTGCATGTATCTTTTTTTTTTTTTTTTTGCGGGTCGCGGGCCTCTCACTGTTGTGGCCTCTCCCATTGTGGAGCACAGGCTCCGGACGAGCAGGCTCAGCGGCCATGGCTCACGGGCCCAGCCTCTCCGCGGCATGTGGGATCTTCCCGGACCAGGGCACGAACCCGTGTCCCCTGCATCGGCAGGCGGACTCTCAACCACTGCGCCGCCAGGGAATCCCTGCATGTATCTTTTTGAAATATGGTTTTCTCTGGGTATATGCCCAGTAGTGGGATTGCTGGGTCATATGGTAATTCTATTTTTAGTTTTTTAAGGAACCTCCATACTGTTCTCCATAGTGGCTGTATCCGTTTACATTCCCACCAGCAGTGCAAGAGGGTTCCCTTTTCTCCACACCCTCTCCAACATTTGTTGTTTCGAGATTTTCTGATGATGCCCATTCTCAGTGGTGTGAGGTGATACCTCACTGTAGTTTTGATTTGCATTTCTCTAATAATTAGTGATGTTGAGCAGCTTTGCATGTGCTTCTTGGCCATCTGTATGTCTTCTTTAGCGAAATGTCTATTTAGGTCTTCTGCCCATTTTTTGGATTGGGTTGTTTGTTTTTTAAAATTGAGCTGCATGAGCTGTTTATGTATTTTGGAAATTAATCCTTTGTCTGTTGATTCATTTGCAAATATTCTCTCCCATTCTGAGGGTTGTCTTTTTGTCTTGTTTGTAGTTTCCTTTGCTATGCAAAAGCTTTGAAGTTTCATTAGGTCCCATTTGTTTATTTTTGGTTTTACTTCCGTTACTCTAGGAGGTGGATCAAAAAAGATCTTGCTGTGATTTATGTCAGCGTGTTCTTCCTATGTTTTCCTCTAAGAGTTTTATAGTGTCTGATCTTACATTTAGATCTGTAATCCATTTTGAGTTTATTTTGGTGTATGGTGTTAGGGAGTGTTCTAATTTCATTCTTTTACATGTAGCTGTCCATTTTGCCCAGCAGCACTTATTGAAGAGACTGTCTTTTCTCCATTGCATTTCCTTGCCTCCTTTGTCATAGATTAGTTGACCATAGGTGCGTGGGTTTATCTCTGGGCTTTCTATCCTGTTCTGTTGATCTATATTTCTGTTTTTGTGCCAGTACCATATTGTCTTGATTACTGTAGCTTTGTAGTATAGTCTGAAGTCAGCGAGTCTGATTCCTCCAGCTCTGTTTTTTTCCCTCAAGAGCACTTTGGCTATTCGGGGTCATTTGTGTCTGCATACAAATTTTAAGATTTTTTTTGTTCTAGTTCTGTAAAAAATGCCATTGGTAGTTTGATAGGGATTGCATTGAATCTGTAGATTGCTTTGGGTAGCACAGTCATTTTCACAATATTGATTCTTCCAATCTAAGAACATGCTATATCTCTCCATCTGTGTGTATCATCTTTAATTTCTTTCATCAGTGTCTTATAGTTTTCTGCATGCAGGTCTTTCATCTCCCTAGGTCAGTTTATTCCTAGGTATTTTATTCTTTTTGTTGCAGTGGTAAATGGGAGTGTTTCCTTAATTTCTCTTTCAGATTCCTCATCATTAGTGTATAGGAATGCAAGAGATTTCTGTGCATTACTTTTGTATCCTGCAACTTTACCAAATTCATTGATTAGCTCTACTAGTTTTCTGGTGGCGTCTTTAGGATTCTCTGTGTATAGTATCACGTCATCTGCAAACGGTGACAGTTTTACTTCGTCTTTTCCAATCTGTATTCCTTTTATTTCTTTTTCTTCTCTGATTGCCGTGGCTAGGACTTCCAAAACTATGCTGAATAATAGTGGCGAGAGTGGACATCCTTGTCTTGTTCCTGATCTTAGAGGAGGTGCATTCAGTTTTTCACCATTGAGAATGATGTTTGCCGTGGGTTTGTCGTATATGGCCTTCATTATGTTGAGGTATGTTCCCTCTCTGCCCACTTTCTGGAGAGTTTTTATCATAAATGGGTGTTGAATTTGGTCAAAAGTGTTTTCTGCATCTACTGAGATGATCACATGGCATTTCTTTCTCAGTTTGTTAATATGGTGGATCATATTGATTGATTTGCGTGTGTTGAAGAATCCTTACATCCCTGGGATAAATCCCACTTGATCATGGTGTATGATCCTTTTAATGTGTTGTTGGATTCTGTTTGCAGGTATTTTGTTGAGGATTTTTGCATCTGTATTCGTGAGGGATATTAGTCTGTAATTTTTTTGTAGTATCTTTGTCTGGTTTTGGTATCAGGGTGATGGTGGCCTCATAGAATGAGTTTGGGAGTGTTCCTTCCTTTGCAGATTTTTGGAAGAATTTGAGAAGGATGGATGTTAGCTCTTCTCTAAATGTTTGACAGAATTCACCTGTGAAGCCATCTGGTCCTGGACTTTTGTTTGTTGGAAGATTTTTTTCTTTTTGCGGTACGCAGGCCTCTCACTGTTGTGGCCTCTCCCACTGCGGAGCGCAGGCTCCGGACGCGCAGGCTCAGCGGCCATGGTTCCTTTGCCTAGCCGCTCCGCGGCATGTGGAATCTTCCCAGACCGGGGCACGAACCCGTGTTCCCTTCATCGGCAGGCGGACTCTCAACCACTGCACCACCAGGGAAGCCCTGTTGGAAGATTTTTAATCACAGTTAAAATTTCATTACTTGTGATTGGTCTGTTCATATTTTCTCTTTCTTCCTGGTTGAGTCTTGCAAGGTTATACCTTTCTAAGAATTTGTCCATTTCTTCCAGGTTGTCCATTTTATTGGCATGGAGTTGCTTGTAGTTGTCTCTTAGGATGCTTTGCATTTCTGTGGAGTCTGTTGTAACTTCTCCTTTTGTATTTCTAAGTTTATTGATTTGAGTCCTCTCCCTCTTTTTCTTGATGAGTCTGGCTACTGGTTTATCAATTTTATCTTATCAGAGAATCAATCAGCTTTTAGTTTTATTGATCTTTGCTGTTGTTTTCTTTGTTTCTATTTCATTTATTTCTGCTCTGATCTTTACGATTTCTTTCCTTCTACTACCTTTGGGTTTTGTTTGTTCTTCTTTCTCTAGTTCCTTTAGGTGTAAGGTTAGATTGTTTATTTGAGATGTTTGTTGTTTCTTGAGGTAGCCTTGTATAGCTATAAACGTCCCTCTTAGAACTGCTTTTGCTGCATCCAGTAGGTTTTGGATCGTTGTGTTTTCATTGTCATTTGTCTGTAGGTATATTTTGATTTCCTCTTTGATTTCTTCAGTGATCTCTTGGTTACTTAATAACGTATTGTTTAACCTCTATGTGTTTCTGTTTTTTACGGTTTTTTTCCCCTGTAATTGATTTCTAACTCATAGCGTTGTGGTCAGAAAAGATGCTTGATATGATTTCAATTTTCTTAAATTTACGGAGGTTCGATTTGTGACCCAAGATGTGATCTGTCCTGGAGAATGTTCCATGTGCACTTGAGAAGAAAGTGTAATCTGCTGTTTTTGAATGGAATGTCCTATGAATATCAGCGAAATCTGTCCGGTCTGTTGTGTCATTTAAAGCTTGTGTTTCCTTATTAATTTTCTGTCTGGATTATCTGTCCATTGGTGTAAGTGAGGTGTTAAAGTCCCCCACTGTTATTGTGTTACTGTCGATTTCCTCTTTTATAGCTGTTAGCAGTTGCCTTATGTATTGAGGTGCTCCTATGTTGGGCGCATATATATTTATAATTGTTATATCTTCTTCTTGGATTGATCCCTTGATCATTATGTAGTGTCCTTCCTTGTCTCTTGTAACATTCTTTATTTTGAAGTCCATTTTATCTGATATGAGTATTGCTACTCCAGCTTTCTTTTGATTTCCATTTGCATGGAATATCTTTTTCCATCCCGTCACTGTCAGTCTGTACGTGTCCCTAGGTGTGAAGTGGGTCTCTTGTAGGCAGCATATATATGGGTCTTGTTTTTGTATCCATTCAGTGAGCCTGTGTCTTTTGGTTGGAGCATTTAATCCATTCACGTTTAAGGTAATTATCGACATGTATGTTCCCATGACCATTTTCTTAATTGTTGTGGGGTTTTTTTGTAGGTCCTTTTCTTCTCTTGTGTTTCCCACTTAGAGAAGTTCCTTTAGCATTTGCTGTAGAGCTGGTTCGGTGGTGCTGAATTCTCTTAGCTTTTGCTTGTCTGTAAAGCTTTTGATTTCTCTGTCGAATCTGAATGAGATCCTTGCTGGGTAGAGTAATGTTGGTTGTAGGTTGTTCCCTTTCATCACTTTAAATATGTCATGCCACTCCCTTCTTGCTTGTAGAGTTGCTGCCAAGAATTCAGCTCTTAACCTTATGGAGGTTCCCTTGTATGTTATTTGTTGTTTTTCCCTTGCGGCTTTCAATAATTTTTCTTTGTCTTGAATTCTTGCCAATTTGATTACTATGTGTCTTGGCAGGTGTCTCCTTGGGTTTGTCCTGCCTGGGACTCTCTGTGCTTCCTGGACTTGGGTGGCTATTTCCTTTCCCATGTTAGGCAAGTTTTCGACTATAATCTCTTCAAATATTTTCTCAGGTCCTTTCTGTCTCTCTTCTCCTTCTGGGACCCCTATCATGCGAATGTTGTCGTGTTTAATGTTGTCCCAGAGGTCCCTTAGGCTGTCTTCATTTCTTTTCATTCTTTTTTCTTTATTCTGTTCTGCAGCAGTGAATTCCACCATTCTGTCTTCCAGGTCACTTATCCGTTCTTCTGCCTCAGTTATTCTGCTATTGAGTCCTTCTAGTGTATTTTCCATTTCAGTTATTATATTGTTCATCTCTGTTTGTTTGTTCTTTAATTCTTCTAGTTCTTTGTTAAACAATTCTTGCATCTTCTCGATCTTTGCCCCCCTTCTTTTTCTGAGGTCCTGGATCATCTTTT